ATCAATGCAAGCAACTTTTATTATAAAATGAAGGATCAAATCTTTAATATTAAATCAACAAGTACTATCAAATTTAATGCTTCTAAGTATTACAATTCATGAAAATTTGTTACTGTAAATTTTGAATTTCTTTTCCATTTTTAAGAGATATATGTGTATATATACACACTAATTTTTATATACTTTCAGTATGAAGCATTTCCCAATACTCAAGTATTACAAGATAAAGTGACTCAAAAGCTTGATAATGAGCTTGAAACATCTTCTGCTATTCAAATGTTACAAGAGGAAATATTACAGAGAATGCATTAAATGGAATAATGCAGAAATGTTGTTTTTAAATGAAGTATGAAAATAATTGATATTTTTATAATACTGTGGTAGTTGGTAAATCTTGTATTCCTAATTTTGTCATACATGAAATCCAAGATGTACATGAAAATTATCAACCCATTGAAATTAAAGAAGTTTTAACTGACATACTTCATAAAGTTAAAATTGGATCATGCGAATTAGTGCTTCGATCTGTGCACGGATAAACCCGCAGTATTCGGATATCGGAAAAAAAATAGCTATCCGGATACCGCAGTTTTATCCGGATAAATATCCGGATAGAAAATATCCGGTTTGACCTGTTTTATCCGGATAAAAAAAATTATAAAAAATTTTTTTTGTCATTTAAATTACTTATTTATTGACATTATTATCTATTAAATTACCATTTATTAAAATCATAATCTATCTTACTAAAATTACTAGTAGAACATTCGATAGTCAGTAATAATTCAGGCCATCTATAATGCCAGCCCAAATTTTGCGAAATTGCTTGATATGTTTGGCCCAAATTACTGTCGATACATGATTTAAAAAAAAAGATTTTTTCTAATAGATAGGTTGAATAAGTACAAAATAGTATAAATATAATAAAAATAATTAGTTCATGCCTAATCTTCCATTATTTTACGATTTTACTGTATTTTATATATTTGTAATAATGTATTTATTGCAAAATTTTAAATTTTTAAAATTTTCAAAAAATTGTCATAATTCAGGCAAAATTCGTAGTGCCGGCCAAAATTAAAATTTTATTTTATTTAAAATTAATAAAATATCACTAATTTAGTTAAAAATATTAAGTCAAAATTTAATTAAGTTAATGCGACTGATATTATTTGTTAAGATCGATCAATGAAAAAAAAATTTTATATATAATCTTATCCGGGTTTCAGTTTCTATCTGGATATATCCGGATTTATATCTGAACCGGATAATCTGGATAAAAACTGGATAATTTTTTTAATTTATCCAGATAACGGTTTCTACCTGGATCGAAGCACTAATACGAATATTCTAACTGTGATAAGGACTAAGGAGATGAGTTATTATTAATTAATCATCTAATTTATTTAGAAAAATCATGTCAAGAAACTGGAGAATGAACAAGAATGCTTAAAACTAAAAAACAAAAAGACTCAAGTTTGAGGTAGATTCAAATTATAAAATTTTTTGCACTATTATAATTTAATAATTAATTCCTATTTATTAATTATTATATATTTAACTATTAATAGAATAAAACTCTCTTTAAAGAGATCATCTATCAAAATGAATCACCCATTAAAGAAACCTGTGAATTATCAATTGCAATCACTTAATGACAATGAGACCAGCTATAAAAATAGATCATCCATTAAAGAGACTCATTCTTGAGACCAGTCTTCATGGTCTTCAGTCTGAGATTTGAGGACCAGTCCAGACTAGAGGCCTGCATTGTCCCCTATTTTACAAATTACAACCCAGCCTGGACTTAATATATTAAAAACCTGATCCAGACCAGACTAGGGATGGCAATGGTCAGTTATGGTCAGTTAAAAATTGGTTAAATGGTCAGTTAAATGGTTAAAAATGGCCAGTCAAATTGTTAAATGGCTGGCAGTTAAACAGTCAGTTAAATGGTTATGATCATAACCGTTGCCATCCCTAGACTGGACCCAGACTATTAATATATCATTTTGTTGTAAAAACAAAAAAATTGGCCAACTTAATTTTGGCCAGTTTAATTTCGGCCAGAATTAAGACGATTTTGGCTAGAATTACGAAAATTCAGGTTTAACGAAAATCATGTGCTGGCCCCTTGGTGAATTTTAAAGAAATTTTGCTGGCCCAAATCCAGATCCAGGTCCAGGCCTTTCAGGTTCCGGGTCCCATTTGCAGACCTCTAGTCCAGACTGCAGGACTGGTACCAATTATAATATTATATAAAATTATTATCTAATATGAAAATGATAAGTTATATATTATTAATAAAGTTTTCATTTTGAAATACAAAAATTTTCAAATTTTGGTATTTTGTAATCAATATCATTTAATTTCTCATTGATGCTTTAAAAATGTTGAAATATAAGAATAAAAATTTTTTCATATATGCAATTATTATGTGTTATATGATTATTTTTATTTTTTTTATTTTCATTACAATTTTTTTTTCATATTTCAACAGTTGTATAAGGGTTTAAAATTCTATCCACTCAGTAAATAGTTTTTGTATAAATTTATACCAAACGGGCTCATTGGCTCGAAATTAGCTCAAATTTATGCAAAAAATAATCCAAATTTAAGCCAATCTAGAGCCAATTATATATGGATGAGCCCATTTGGTACAATTTTATACAAAAACTATTTACTGGGCCAGTATTTTATTCTTAAACTTCATTTTAGATTTTATTTGGGCTATACTTAATTTATAATAAAAATAAAAATAATAAATAATAAATTAATGTCATAATTTTTAGTGCGACCTGCATTTCATTATCAATCCATAAATATCACTGTTATACTGTAAATAAGATAATTTAAAAACTTTAAGGATGGTTAAAAGACTGGTCTGGTCTGGTCCTAGTTGAAAGACCAGTCTTTTTTGGACCAGACTAATCCAACCCTACTCATGGATTATCTACTAAATCATTCAATGACAAGAGACCTGTTATAGAAATAGTTCATCAGAATCACCTATTATAATTGATTAATTAAAGTCTTTGCAGAAAAATAATTCATGAATTCATTATTCAATAAGACTGTGCCGAAATTTGAGAATTGTTAGAACTAAGATCATTAAAATAACGTAACCTATGGCGCGCCGATGTGGACAGATTGGTATTTTATTAATACCAACTCCTGCTATTTAAAATAATACTAGCTCTTGTATTTTAAAATTACTGATTTTGCCTAAAATGGCAATTCCTTTTTATATTATTAGACAGATTTGTATTTGTTTAATACCAAATTTCTCTAATTAAATATTACCAACTCTTGTAATTTTAAAATTAGTAGATCTTTTTTCTTTAATAGACAGATTCATATTTTTTTATTGCCTCCTTTTTTCATTAGAAGATCTTTTTCTTTAATAGACAGATTTGTATTTTTTTATTATTAGCTCTGACGATCATTTTTATTCGCTAAATCTCACCGCAGGTGATCCTTACCGCAGGTGATTTTATTCCGGCCAAATTATAATTCCAGCTGGAGTTAATTGTGTAACCTAGTAAAAAGTTTTGACTTTTTTAGTAACAATGTGGTATAAAAATTGCACCAATGAGTTCGGAAGATGCCCGTTTATAATAAATATGCAGTCAAATTTTGTGTAGCCTCACTGCATAAATCACTTTACTTAAGAAATTTATTTCGTAATGGTCAAAAGTGGTCTATTTGACCTTAAAAGTGGTCAAACTTGACCTTATTGATGGTTAAAAGTGGTCAAACATGACCATCAGCTGCCTTAATTGATGGTCAAAAGTGGTCAAATATGCCCTCGCCTTTAACTACCAATTATTAGTATAACCAAACAGAAAATTTTCGAAAAATTCCTATGTGCTATATGACCACTTTCTAGGGTCAAATAGACCACTTTTGACCATCAATTAAGGTAGCTGATGGTCACGTTTGCCACTTTTAAGGTCAAATAGACCACTTTTGACCATTACGAAATAGATTTCTTAAGTAAAGTGATTTATTCAGTGAGGCTACACAAAATTTAACTGCATATTTACTTATAAACGGGTATCTTCCGGATCCATTAGTGCCACATTGTAACTAAAAAAATCAAAAACTTTTTATTAGGTTACACAATTGAATTTGGCTGGAATTATAATTTGACCGGTGAAATCACCTGCGGTGAGATTTAGCAGATCTGCTAATAAATAAAAATGATCGTCAGAGCTAATAATAAAAAATATAAATCTGTCTGGTAAAGAAAAAAGATCTGCTAATAAAAAAAGGGGATAATAAAAAATATAAATCTGTCTATTGAAGAAAAAAAGATCTGCCAATTTTAAAATTACAAGAGTTGGTAATATTTAATTAGAGAAAGTTCGTAATAAATAAATATGAATCTGTCTAATAATGCAAAAAGAAATTGCCATTTTAGACAAAAATCTGCCACTTGCAGTAATATTAAAATACATGAGCTGGTATTATTTAAATAGCGGGAGTTGGTATTAAAAAAATACCAATCTGTCCACATCGGCGCGCCATAGTAACCTTATATACAATTGCATCAAGGCATTTATTTAGCTATTTAAATAATCGTGATTAAATAGCTCACTTTATTTTATGATGTTTAGTTATTTATGCATCTTAAAAATATCAAGCGATTGCTCAATTACAAACTGATTTATTTATGTAAATAAAATTTACATATACTCTATAATCAGTGTTAAACAATAACTAACTATAATCAAATATGATTCCTATATATTTATATATTCCAAAAAATTATCAATAATATTGTAAGTATAGTTATGGAGAAAGAAGGCTGATTATTTATAGAATATTAAAGGGCAAGCATAAATGCATGTTATTATTAAATAAACTTTGTGGAAGACATAAAAATATTAAAGTTACAAGTTAAACTTCTGTATTTTAAGTTTCATTATGGTAAGATATCAAAGAATTTAGTGAATCAAATTGATAGATTATAATGTCATAAAAATATTTGAAAGTTATATATCATATGATTATTAATATAATCAATCAGCAATAATTGCACAACTTAAACAATCGGAATTATCATTATCGTACTTAGGAAGATCTTTTGTAAAAGGGTTAAGTAATCGAGATGTATAAATAGCTCCTGGATGTTGTTTGTTTTCCTTAAAAGAAGAGAGATGTAATTTTCTGTAAGCTTCTGCTTCTTTAAATTGCTTTCTAATTTCAGTTGCATTTAAATTGCCTTTTTTATATGATCTATAAAAATCATAAAATGACTTAATCTCAATATTTAATTCAGTAGCATTTGGTCTATTATCTGGATTTGAATCCCAACATCTTTTCATTAAGTCAATATAACATTTTGGTTCTTCCAGCTCATTTATTTTAGGTCTAATTCCTTTGCATATCTCTAATGTTATATGATGGTCATGTGCACAATTGTCAAAAGGTTGCTTTCCAGTTGCTGTAAAATACATAATCATACCAAAGCTATATATATCTGCTGCTTGAGTATAAGGTTTTCTTCTTAATACTTCAGGCGCTATATAAGGGATAACTCCATAAGTTTTTATATCACTTGTGTTATTCACATCTTCACATAATCCCATATCTGATATAAATAATGATTTCCTATTAAGATTATTTAAGTTTTTTGTTAAAAACAATATGTTCCCTGTATGAAAATCATGATGAACCTTCTGTTTTTTATGAATTCCTTTGAGACCTTCAATGATACTAAGTAATGTTTGTATTTTATTTCTCCAATCAAAATCTTTGTAATTTATGCTTATCCAATTATTATAACTTCCACCATCTGCATATTCAATGACTATAATATAATCTTTTGTATTTGGATTTTGAGATATTCCATATACATTAAGAATATCATCTATTTTATTAATTGAGTATGCTCTAACCTATTTTAATAAAAATCATTAATTAAAAAAAAATAGCATTCCGATTAATAAAAATTAATTTATTAAGAAATTTCATACCTCATTGAAAAATTCATCAATCATATTTTGTGAATTATTTAAACACTTTAAAGCAACCTTTTTATTTGGAACTCTAGTACACATTTCTTCATTAACATTATACTTTAATGGACCATCTTTCCATATTGCTGAATAAACTGTAGCAAATCCACCTTTACCTATTTCTTTAATGTAATTAAATTGATTATATGGTATCCATTCAAATATTATATTTAAATGAGAATTGATCTTTAATCGCATTTCTTCAATTAAATCATCAATTTTTTCATTTCCACTGTTAATAGAAGTTGCAGTTACTAGACATTGTTTACACCATGTATGATCAATATGATCATATTTTCCACCACAATTTTTGCAATATGTTTTACCATATTCTGTACAATATTCACTTTGAAGAACCAGAATGTAATCCCCTTGATTCGGGTTTTGAGATATCCCATATATTTTAAAATTATTATCAGATTCTTTAACCTGTTAAATTATAGAAATATATCACTAAATTAAAAGAAGATTTAGATTTAATTTAAAATATTTCATACCTTATTTAGAAATTTGTGTGAATCATTAAAACATACTAAAGCAACCTCATGTTTCCATGTCGCTGAATATACTGTAACAAAATGTCCTTTGCCTATATTTCTAATTTTATTAAACTGATTGTATGGTATCAATTCAAGTCCTATATCACTTGGTTCATTAATTTTTAATTGAATTAAACTATCAATTTTATCATTTCCGCTTTTCCAGCCTATAAAATTACATGACTTACACCATTTATACTGGATGCCTGTGTATATTTTAACACATAAGCTACAATATTTTTCGAAACTTTGACTGCTAAAAATCAAAATATAATCCTTGGTATCTGGATTTTGAGATATTCCATACAATTGAAAAAAATTGTTATTTTCTGAATATTTTTTAGTCTAAGACCATAAATTGGAAATTAATATATTAAAAAATGTAAAAATAAATAAATGCAATAATATAATATGTAAAATTCATACCTCACTTATTAGAGAATCAACAGGATTTTGCAAATTATAAAAATATCTTAAAGCAACTTCTTTATTTGAATCTCTTGTATATTTTCTATTGTGTACTAATGGGCCATTATTCCAAATTGCTGAATATACAGTTATAGAACCATTTTTTCTTGTTTCTTTAATTTCATTAAACTGATTGTATGGTATCCATTCAAATACTACTTCATTTTATGAATTAATATTTAATTGCCTTTCTTGAATGAATTTATCAATTTTTTCATTTCCACTAATCCAATTTACTAAGTTTATAGAATTATTTTGAACTAAAATATAATCACTTGTATCTGGATTTTGAGATATTCCATACAATACAAGAAACTCATTATTTTTTGTTGAATATTTTTTAGCCTAAAACCAACCATCATTAACAGGAAATTAACATCATATTAAAAAATGTAATAAAAAATGTAATAATATATATAAAAATTTATACCTCATTTATTAAAGAATCAACAGGATTTTGTAAGGTATGAAAACATTTTAAAGCAACTTTTTTATTTGAATCTCTAGTATAGTAGCATGATCTTTGCTGATACTGTTTGTATAATGAGCCAGTTTTCCATATTGCTGAATATATGGTTATAGAACCATTCTTGCCTGCTTCTTCAATTTCATTAAACTGATTGTATGGTATCCATTCGAATACTACATCATTATAGGAACCAATATTTAATTGCCTTTCTTGAATGAAATTATCAATTTTTTCATTTTCACTAATCCAGGTAAGACAGTATTTTTGAACTAAAATATAATCACTTGTATCAGGATTTTGAGATATTCCAAACAATACAAGAAACTTGTCACTTTTTATTGAATATTTTTTAGCCTGAAACCAACCATCATTAACAGGAAATTAGAATCATATTAAAAAAAGAAATAAGAAATGTAATAATATTTATAGAAATTTATACCTCATTTATTAGAGAATCAACAGGATTTTGCAAGTTATGCAAACATTTTAAAGCAACTTTTTTATTTGAATCTCTTATATAGTAGTGCTGATACTTTTTGTATAATGGGCCATTTTTCCATATTGCTGAATATACAGTCATAGAACCATTTTTGCCTGCTTCTTCAATTTCATTAAACTGATTGTATGGTATCCATTCAAATATTACATCATCATTATAGGAGTTTATATTTAATTGTCTTTTTTGAATGAAATCATCAATTTTTTCATTTCCACTAATACAGGTAAGAACTAAAATATAATCACTTGTAACTGGATTTTGAGATATTCCATATAACATAGTAAGAAGCTTGTCATTTTTTGTTAAATATTTTTTAGCCTGAACCATAAACAGAAAATTAACAATATATAAAAAAAATAAGAAATGTAATAATATTTATAGAAATTTATACCTCATTTATTAGAGAATCAACAGGATTTTGCAAGTTATGCAAACATTTTAAAGCAACTTTTTTATTTGAATCTCTTATATAGTAGTATGAACCCTGCTGATACTTTTTGTATAATGGGCCATTTTTCCATATTGCTGAATATATAGTCATAGAACCATTTTTGCCTGCTTCTTCAATTTCATTAAACTGATTGTATGGTATCCATTCAAATACTACACCGTAATAGAAATCAATATTTGATTGCCTTTTTTGAATAAAATTATCAATTTTTTCATTTCTGCTGGTCCAAAATATAAATCTATCTTTTAAATATTTTGAAATTTCTGAATGTTCAATAGCTTTATTTTGGGAATACATTTTTTCAAAGGTCAAAAAATGTTTGAAAACATACAGTATTTATAAATATAATGATCATCATGATCATTGTACAAGCAATTCATGCATAATAATGCATAGCTATTTTTATGCACGAGGGCGGGCATAGGTTTCACGCATAACAATATGAATGTGAAAATCATTGTTTCAACAGTTGTTTCAACAAATTCTTTTTGTTAGGCCGCTCCTGCTGCGTATTTCACATGACAAAAGCTGAATAATATTTTCAAGGTAACACAAAATCACAAATAATAAAAGTGCGCAAAAAATTTAATAAATGTATGCAATTTTTTTGTAAAGCGGAATTACCTTTTATGAATTAAGCAGCAATTGTAGCTTAGTATATTCTATAAACAAATATATAAAATTTATTTATTATTTATGAATTATTTTATTTTAGGTAATATTAAAATTAATAGAATAAAAACCCGAGAAAAATAATATTAAACTTTAAGCTATCTGATATAATTAATTAATGTATTTGATGTTATGTGCTTCGAAAATGTGCATGCATGTTATACTCATTTTTCTCCAATTATTTCTCGTCAAGAAGCCGTTTATTGTTTCTTGTTTTTAAAAAATAAATTAAAGCGTTAATTAAAACAAAACAAAATATAGCAATCCAAAATAACTATCCACACGACAATAAGTTCATAACTAAACCGTTCTTTTTTTGAAATGTGACACGTAATCTATTTACGTTATTGAAAAACTGTTAATGAATCTCATTGTAAATTTGTATATCAATGATTTAGCTGAACATACTATAACAAATCAGGAAATGAGATTGTATTGATAGTATCATGCATCAGTATAACAAATATAATACATATCAGATATTATTCTCGTATCCCGCAAACGTAAATTATGTGCTGTCTTCTATTGAGTTCTTATTTTAAAGATTAAAGTTGGAAGAATTTTATTTGACTTTGATACAGAATAGTTGTATAATAACGATATATATGTATATATTTATGCCAACTTCCATTTTTGCTTTAATTAAAATTTCTTTGGTGAAGCGCAGATTCATGCTCCTTTTTTTTAATAATCTCGATGTTAAATATTAAAAGCGTTCTCCTGATAAGTGGAATTGATAAATTCAACAAAGAAAATCCAACAAAAATTCTCGATATTAAAAAATTAGTCGAATTCGTAAAAAAAAAAAATTATTACATATGAGGAGCACGGATAGATTACAACATAGTGTAATGCCGTAGCTTAGTAAATTTATTAATTGTGGGACGCAGTATTATATTTAGAATTAGTATATAAAATTTTAGTATTTTAAAATTGTATTTTAATTTGTCCGCAATGACGTTAAACTATGAAACAAAAGAAGTATTAACGTCCGAGATGACGTTAATAGATTAATAAGTCAAGTGATTAAAACATCAGGTGATCGATTTGTAGATCATGACGTTAAGGATAATTTAATTTCAGGATATAGGTTATGAATTGGAAATGGTTAGGATGAGGTGGAACAACATTTTTGTTGGTGGTAAATATTTATTTTTGAGCAACACATTTTAACACGTATTTATTTTTGACCACTGCTCAATAAAAAGAGGTAAAGGATAATCCAGCAGGTTACTAAAACTCTGACTAATATAAATATTTGGGGATTTTGACCTTGTTAAAAATCAGGATATGAATTTGAGAAATATTTTAATTTTTAGGATAAAAATTTAACCGTTATTTAATATTATTAAACCAAGCATATTATTGTATGTATTTATTTATATTATTAATAAAGTATTATTTTGTCAATATCTATGGTGGCAACGTGACTTATCACGGGCATAGGTATTACAATAGTTAGAATTAATTTATTTTTTTCGTATCCAAATGTTGGGCGTTTTTTCTTGTTTCACAATTTTGGTTTCACAATTTTGGCTCACAATTTCATGTTGGTTCACAATTTTGACGCAGAAATTTTTTTTTTTTATTATTTTATTTTTTAATAAAAACAATATACATTTTTTTATTAAAGAAAATAAAAAAAAAACTACGTACAAGAATTTTGTTTTATTTTTTCTTTGAATTTTTTTGTAGATCGGGTCAGCTTTTGAAGTGGCTATTTGAAAAAACTAATAAAAAAAAAATTGAAAATTATAATAAGAATTTGACGGTAGAGCGCGAAAATTCCCTAATTAATTTTTTTTCCTTGCCGATTAAAAATATATGGGATAAAAATATGAAATGAAATATAATATAATATATACAGTATATATACACTGTATGTATATATAATATATGATAAAAAAACATTAAAAAAAAAAATTAGACGCACTTAAATTAAAAATTAAATTTTATATAAAAACTTGGAATATTATATGTGTATTAAACCATAATTTAACCTTCCCTTCCGATAATAAAAGGTAGGGAAAAACTTAAAGAGATTAAAATAAAAATTAATATTATAAAGGAAGGAAAAGAAAAAAAACCAAAAAAAAAAAAACTGACGAAAACTAGGGGAAATTGGTGAAAATTAGAAAGGCAAAAAATGTAAATGTAATATATTTAATTGCCAATATATTTTTTCGTACTGTATTTCTCTATTAGCTTCTCCCGTTCGTTATTAAAAAGGATATTCTAATTTAAATTTGGAGTCAGAATAGAATCTTTCATATCGGTCGTGGATTTATCATTATTTCTTCGTGATCATAATAATAACGTGACCGTTCAAATGTGACTTTAATTTGGATGTGCTTTCTAATTTGTTTTGCTGGCAGGAGGAACACTTGAAAGAATCCTTATCAAAGTATTTGCCTCAACTATTGCATTAGCACCCACAAGATTCATCAAAACATCATTACTAGTTATAGTATTTTGGGTGAAGCGATAACGGAACCAACACTTCTCCTTTTGGTTTATGTTAATTGTCGCTCTTAGAGTATATTATACTTTTTCAAATTGTGTATATACTGTAATCGATTG